CGATGGGGACAGAGTTGTCAGCTACATTATTCTTTATAGTTTCTGAATGCTTGAACTATTTCAAGATTATTATTTTTTTTAAGAGTAGAGAAAAGAGGTTCTAGGCAGTGGAACCAACCAATGTTAAGGCCCACTCTCAGAGCACTGTGGCTGCAGACTAGTGAAAGCGGGGGAGAGGTGCCAGGTAAGTTGGGAGGCAGGCAGGAAGCAGTCACGTGGGCCTCGAAAGCCCGGACCATGAATACAGTTTTATTGTAAGTGCAGCTGATGCCATCTTGAGCTGCTGAGTAACGTGATCTGATTTATGTTGGGAAGAGATTTCTCTGCTGCTTCAAGGAGAATCAGTGAAAGGTTCAGAATGCCATCAGGGGAGTTAGTTAGGATTCTAGGCCAGGTAAAGTGGTTCTGCTTCACTGAGTCCTCAGGGAACCAACCTTGGTCCAGCTCGTTCGTCAAAAATTATTGCATTGTACTTTATATGTCAATTAAAGCTCAATAAAGCTGTTAAAAAAGAAAAAAGAAGGAACTTGTCATTATGAAACAAAAAGGCAGGATGAAAAAAAGATGGATGTGAAAAAGAACCAATTAAAAATTCTGAGAATGAAAAATATTCCTTGAATGAAAGGTACTCATTAAAAAAGAAAGCAAAGAAAGAAAGGAAAAACCTCAGTAGGTGGGAGAAACTGTGGATTGGACACAGTCAAAGAGATAATTAGTGAATTGGAAGAGAATTCTGAGAAATTTTCCCAGAGACTGCCTAGAAAGATAAAGCAAAAATATGAAAGGGTAGTTAAAAGACATGGAGGATAGATTGAACTATTTCTATATGTGCTTATTAGAAATTCTACCAGAAGACACTGGAGAAAATGACTAAGAAGCTGTACTCAAAAGCATAATGGCTGAGAATTTTCCAGTTTTGAAAAAGAGAAGTCTTCCGTTTTAAAGTGCTCATCAAGTACTGAGGAGAATTTCAAAAAAGTAGATCTCCACTTCAAAACGACATGGCAAAACTGCAGAAAATCAAGAATAAAGGGAAGTCTTAAAAGTTACTGCAGACAGATTACCCACAAAAGGACAACATTAGACTAACAGTAGGTTGCTTTTGAGCCTATGGCAGTCTTTTTAGCAATCTTCAAAGTGCCGAAACAAAATAAAACTTAATCAGCCTAGAATTTCATAGGCAGCTGAACTCTGATTCAAGAGCAATGGTGAAATAAAGACATTTTTATTGAAGAGAAAGTGGCCAAGCCCCAAACCCTGAGGCTCTTGAACATTCAGAGGTTGGGGAGAGGAGGAACCCTCTGAAATCATGTATGCCCAGTCATCCAGCAGAAACTGGAGAGAGAGAAGGACGGGGTTTAGGTTTTGTTGTTCCAGTGGGAGGCTGTTGGAAATGCCACTTGCTGGCCATGTTGCTGAGTATTCTATCAAGACAGAGGAGGGAGATGGTCCTGTCCTTCCGCCTCCCATCTCCCAGGAATTCAAAACACCTGTGAAGGGGTTTGCGCCTCCACCAGTGTCTCTAGGGCAATGGAAATGGGTGGAGGGTGGGTAGCAGGGATTCCTGACCCCAGCCTGGGTTTCAGTTTGGTAGCCGTGGGGACATGTCAGCGGGAGGGCAGAGGGAAGGGAGATAAGGTAGCAGGTGGGGCCAGGCCTTGGGCCCTGGGACTGGAAGGAGCCCAGGGACATGAGAGCCCCTCTCGGATGGCCCATTCTAGACTCTCTCTTTCTTCCAGATTGTAGACAAGAACAACCGCTACAAGTCCATAGATGGGTCAGACGAGACTAAAGCCAACTGGATGAGGTGAGTCCTGCTCTCTGCTGATTTCCTGGGAGTCTTGCCTGGCCTCTGACAGAGTCCAAGGGAACGTACTAGGCCTATGGGGTCTTCAGTGGTGGAGGCTCCTAAAGGCTCTGGGGCTGCCATTTGCAGGGTTTGGGATGTGTCTAGCTCTGGGGGACCCTCCTGCTCCCCCAGGCTTCCATCAGGGAGCTCTGGAGGAGGGCCTGTGGCCAGGCTGGTGGGTTACAGGGACCCCTCGGGGCTGTGCGCTTGTAGTGTATCTGGCATACCCAGGCCCCAGGCTCCTGGCAGCATTCCTGGGAGGAGGGGGAGAGTGTCCCTGCCTAGGACTGTGGGACCTTCTCCCCGGGCAGATTCCTGCTGGGGTAATTCAGGACCCATCCCAGTGAAGCCCTCATGGAGTTGTTTAAATGGCTCTCATGGAGGAGGAAGCTTCTGGCAAAGCCGTTAGCTCAGTTTTTGACAGTGCTTGCTGCCCAGGCCTGATTGCTTTCAAGAGTGGTTTTACCTTCCTGCAGATCATATGGGGCAAAAATTAAAAAAAAAATTTTTAAAGAGTTGTTTCACCCTGTTCCTGTGTTTGGGACAGAAGTTTGCACCAGAAAGATCCTAAAGGCCAAACAGAGAGAGCAGGAGACTGGCCCAGGGCCACCCAGAGGCAGCTGAGCTGAGCCTGGAGTCACAGATCCGCCGTGGCACTGCCGGCCTGTGCCGTGTGCCAGGGGCCCTGCGCTGCGGGGTCTGGGGGAGGTATGGAGTGTGGGGGGATCAGACATGCCTTGTTCCCTCCTTAGTGGCCTCTCTCTGGGGCCCAAGACCGGTGACTGGGAGTTCGGATCTGGGCGGGAGGGGAGGGAGGCCTGTCTGGAGCCAGGGGCACAGCCGCAGCATGGACCTAGGGCCTCCTGGTGGCCTTTATACAGTTTTGTGGCCCCTGGGGGCCGGGGGCTGGGAGAGTGAGAGAGCGATTGTGCTTGGAGAAGGGAGTGTGCCGTGTTGCACTCTGAGATGTTCTGAGCAGGAGACACTGGTTTGAGGTGGGGGGGTCAGTGAGGGCGTCTCTTGTGCCCTTCCCAGTGGTCCCACTTCCCCCCTGTGCTCCCCTCTGAGCACCCTGATCGGCTGAGCTGCAGTTTACACTTCGCACAGCACCGTAGCGTTCGTCCTCTCGTGGGCTGGGGCAGCTGTTCCCGTTGCCCTTCGGCAGGTACAGAATAGAGGTGCCAGAGACGAGTGGCCCCGGCCTTGCAGTGTGGGGACAGGCACCCGCTCCCCTGATCCCCTCTCACACAGTCTGGTCAGACATTGCCCAGAAAGAGGCCCCAGAAAGGTGGCTGGACGCTCCTGACTCCCCATCACTGGACCCAGGTACTGAGTGTCAGGCCACGTGCTGGGCACCCGGGGCGGATCCCCGGCCCCGCTCCCACCCCCGCCCCACCAGGACTCACTTAGCACCACAGAAATGACTTCTAACACAGCCGTGGCAAGGGGCACAGACAATGCGCTGTGAGGGCCCGGATGAAAGAAGAGGGGCCTCTGACAAGGGCCTTCAGAGGGGGCAGGCTTTGGTTCAGGGGCACCGTGAGCAGGTGGGGTTGAGGTGTCCAGACTGGCTGTCGGGCGGCTGCAGAGATGCGCGTGTGAGTCCTGCTGGCATCGGGCTCTGCGCTGCTGCTTTCAAGGTGCCAGGACCTTTGCCCGGAGAGCTGAGTTTGCCCCACTCTTCCACCCGTCTCTGATCTTTTCCACAACCCCAAAGAAGGGGAGTCATCATCTGAACCAGCTTAGCCATCATTTCGCACCCCAGAGATTCTGACTTCATCCCCTGGGACGGGCCCAGGGCACGGGTACTTCTAAAGCTCACGCAGTGATTCCGATGTGCTGCTGGCGTTGAGAACCACGCTCGGCGCCGATCCTCACGCCACAGTGGTCAGACTGAGGCCCGGAGCAGGGCAAGGTCTCGCTCAGGATCACGCAGCCAGTGGAAGAACGAGCATCTGAACCTCTGACTCTGGACTTCCAGGCCAGTGTTCCTTCTGCTTGTGTACAAGAGACCGGGCGAAGCATGGCTTCCTGGGTCTTGTGGGTGCTGGGTGGGGGGCGGTCAGCCTCCAGCACCTTGCTAGCAGGGGATCTGCCCTGTTCTGCTCCCAGCCTGTCCTGGTCACAGCTGGCGGGCCCTCGTCTTGTGATGACTCAGGGAGCAGGCTGGGGTTGGGTGTGTGGCTCACTGCCATGGAGACGCCCCCCTGGTAGCTGTCGCAGTGAGGGGAGAGCCAGTGCAGCCTGGAGACTCCCCTTCCCCTTGCCGTGCAGCTCCTCATTTGCAGACACTCTCGCCTGCGCTGTCAGAGCACCGGGCTGGGCATGATGGGATGGAGTCAGTTAGTTTCTTTACGAAATAAGTGGTGGGCCAGGAAGGGAATGAGCTCTCACGTTTTGAGCTTTGTCCTGACAGCTCTGTGCTCGGTGTTCTGCAGGTGCTGTTTCTCAGCCAGGGCTATTTCGTGCTCCTGGGGGCGTTTGGCAGTGTCTTGAGACATATTTGATGGCCACATCTGGGAGTGGATGCTACTGGTTTCTATTGGGTAGAAGCCAAGGATGTCGATAAACATCCTACATTGCATGGGATGCTCCCTCCTCTGAACAAATTTTTCTAGCCCCAAATGCCAATAGTGGTGAGATTGAGAAACCTGCATTAAATCACCCCAAAGCCCTGGGCGGTGACACTGGAATTATCACCCTAGTTTTACAGAAGAGGAAACCGGGTTTACACAGGTCCGGTGGCTTGCCCAAGGAGACTCAGCCTCTGGTCCCAGGTCTGCCTGAGTGTGAGGCCTATGTCCCTGCCGCTGTCTTGGGCTGGGTAACAAAATCCTGGCCTTTTTCTCCCCATCTTCTGGGCCCTGGTGTTCTGGGTGGGCGGGGTGGGGCAGTGAGGGCTGATGGGTCTTGGCGCCGCTGACCTCTCCCTGTGGTTTTGGAAGCAGTCAGGGCAGTGAATCAGGCTGCGGGTTTCCCTCCATACCCTGATGTCTTCTCTTGGGTGGATTTTTAAAAACCTTTTAGCTAGCTAAAGGGTAAACAGAACCACAGTGTGGGGAAATTGAGTTGCAAAGCCACGGCAGGTGCCAGATCAGAGGGAAGGGCTGTTCTGTGCCCCCTGCCCAGAACCCCAGCTGCTCCGTGGAGGCGAAAGCCAAGGTCACTCCTGGTGTCCATCAAAGTGGAACTTGCCTCCCTCTGGAAGCTCACAGGTGCCTCCAATTTTACCGCAATGCCACGGCAGCCCACCCCCACCTGTTTTCCTGCACATACACAGAGGCGGGGACTGGCGGGGAAAGGGGAGAAAGCCACCGACAGGGGGAGCTTGCTGTGATCGCATCTCAGTAACCTGTGGCACCACAAATCCACAGCCCGTGGCAACCCGCTGTGAAGGCTCCTTGGAGCCATTCTTTGAGCTGTGGGGCTCTATGTAGATATCGCTGTACGGAGGCCAAGGTCTAATCTTAATTCCAATAAGGATCTTTGTCACGACCTTTCGGGGCTTTAAAGCTCTTGTACATCATCGTGCCTTTCGCTCCTTAGTAACAACAGAGAGGTCGGTGTGGTTGTTATTCCCATTCCGAGGCAGGAAAGGTTAAATGAACTTGAACTGCCCTAGCTCTCACCGCTAGTAAGAGGTAAAGCAGGCCCTCAAACCGACTTGAGTCAAGCGCTCCCACCCACTGCCACCGTCTCCTCTTCCCAGCCTCCCCGGAGGACTAGGAGAAGGGAACTTCAGTAGGAGGAGGGTGTGGTGGGGCCAGGTGGCCCCAGGTGCCTCCTGGGCTCCCCAGCTGGGGGCCCGCAGTTAGGAAGGAGGAGGACCACCCACGTTGACAGTCATTTACCCAATTGTGCTTTGTGGGATATTCAACCCAAGGAACGTGGCACCCCTGGCCGAGCGTAAGAGGAAGCCCAAGTTCTCCAAGGAGGAGCTGGACATTCTGGTCACAGAGGTGACCCACCACGAAGCAGTTCTCTTTGGGAGGGAGACCATGCGGCTGTCCCATGCTGACAGGGACAAGATTTGGGAAGGCATAGCTCGGAAAATCACCTCCGTCAGCCAGGTGCCCCGCTCCGTGAAGGACATTAAGCACAGATGGGATGACATGAAACGGAGGACCAAGGACAAGCTGGCCTTCATGCAGCAGTCCCTGTCGGGCCCTGGGGCCGGGGGCCGGGCCCCCACCATCGTGCTCACGGCCCACGAGAGGGCCATCGAGTCAGCGCTGCTCACGGCCCGTGCGGGGCGCAGCTTCCCCAGGGCGGAACTGGATGGCACCGACAGCCCTTCGACCAGCTGTGAGTATCCGTCCCCCATACCCGCCTGGGCCGTCCGCTCCCAGCCCGCTCCGCTCGGTCCCCTGCGCCTTCCTTCTCTTGCCCTCCCGTCCCTCTCTGTCCACCCCACCCTTTCCATTCTCCCCCTCCCCCTTCTGTCTCCTCTCCACCCCTTTTTGTGCATTCATTCTAGAATATCTCCTGAGTATCTCTGTGCCAGGGCGCTGTGCCAGCAGCTGGGGGGACAGCTTTGTGCAAACCATCCCCACACGTGCTCTCGGGAGGTCCGAGACTCATGGGAATAAGCCGACTTTAAGTAATAGCACAAGTAAACTTGCGATGAAGGGATGAAGGACGAATGAGTCTAGCAGGTCCCAGGAGCAGGGCTGACTTTCAGGCACAAGACCCTGCAGGCGTGGGGCCCTGCTGGGTTTAGGGCCCTGCTAGTGTCATCTGAACATTCTTAATAATCGTTGGACCAGGGGCCCCAGGTCTTCCTTTTGCACTGGGCCCTGCAAGTTACGAGGCGGCTCTGTCTGAGAGTGAGGAGCGGTGGACACCGGGGACTGGGGAAGGCTCCCTGACGAGGTGGCAGGAGGCTGGACATGCAGGGTAAGAGTTAACCAGGCCAGGCAGCAGCGCGGGGCGCAGAGGAGGGGAGGGGAGAGCACGCA